AGGCACCATAAACTTTTTTGCAGTAGTGGCGCATTCTGGCGGTCAAGGAGGTTACCTTTCACCCCATCTAGTACATTATGAGTAAGGTATTCTTCTCCATAAATTATTTTATATTTTTCTACAAAATATTGCAAGAGTTGTAGAGCATAATTATTATATGTCAAATATAATTCAAAACTGCTTAAAATTCTAATGGCACACGATAGAGCCAAAAAATGTATGTACACATTTTTGTTTGATATTTTTTTTAATGCAACAGGTCTGGTATATAATAGAAACTGTAGTTTTCGATGACTTTATAATATTCTATATCTTCCAATTTTCTTGGTAATCGTGCAAAGTCTGTTAGTAAATAGTTTCTAAATAATAAAAGTTTATCATTATTCTTTTTGGTCACGTTCATATAAACGAATATTTTTTTTCCCCCTTATTAATAACAATAAAATCCGTTCCATAACCCCTAAATATACAAGGTGCATACTATCGAGAGGTACTTGTAAAACTAAACCCATATTCAATTTTTCAAAAGAACTTATACCTTTATGAAATTCATTATCCAATTTATTTTTGAAACTCATATCATTCCTTAATTGTCTGTTATTCTCTAAAAATATAACTTTTCCGTTAACAACAGTTCCTTCTTCAGTACATTTTTTTCTACAGTACAAGAGAATATTCTAGAATAACTTGTGTGACCTTTAATGTATAAAAGAAAAGATTTTGTGTCGCAGAGAAGTTTAGAAACTTTTAGTTTAATATTTCCGTCATTTATTTCGAAACCATTTTTTTCTAAATTCTGAAACTCGTTTATAAACGAATTCATAAATTGATGAACATCGGTTGGTTTTTTAAAACCATGATAAATACCAACGGTAAATGATTTTCGCCATTTTTTATTAGCAGATAAATCTATATAGATAAGAACTGGCCAAAATTGACTGCCTAATATTGGAACTTTTTGATATTGGTAAACCATCGATATTTATGCAAATAGGTAATACTATTTCAATGCAATCCAGAAATAGTTTTTCTATAATACAATTATTGTTAAGTATTCTGCGTAACCCATTTTCTATTCCTAGATGACAGTAAAAACTAGGAAAAATGCTTATAATTTCATGAAGAAGATGTTTGCAGAAGCATTTGCGAATCCTTGAATTTTAGAAATGCACACTTAATATAGACAATAATTTATTTATAGCACAGTGGCTTAGTACACAGTGCGACAAATATGTTCCCGGACAGGGCCAGAAAATCATAATTGAAACAACAATATGCATATTTTTTGGTTTTATTATTCAAAATATTCTCCTGTGGCTTCAATACTTGTTACAGCGATTCAATAGTGATTCAAATACATGTTCTAGCTCAGTTTGCAGAATTGCCTCTAGTGCCTGTGTAGAAGCTGATTGGATGGTCGGAATGTCATCAAAAAAGCGTCCTTTCAATTTCAATTTCGATTTTGGGAATAATGAGAAGTCGCAGGGGGCCAAATCAGGTGAATACAGTGGATGGTTTAACACAGAGACATGATTTCGAGCCAAACATTGACGGACAATCAATGAAGTGTGACTCGGTGCATTATCTGCAACAAAGACCAATTTTCTGGATCACGATATTCGGGGTGAATACGATGAATTCTGCCCATCAATCGCTTTAAAACTTCGAGATAATATGCACCAGTAATTGTTTGGCCAGTTGGAACAAACTCTTTGTGGATAATACCTTTGCTATCAAAGAATGTGATGAGCATTGTCTTGATTTTTGATGGAACTTTTCGTACTTTTTTTGCTTGTGATGAATTTTTTGACTTCCATTCCGCACTTTGACGCTTAGTTTCTGGATCATATTGAAAGCACCATGTTTCATCATCCGTAACAATTGATTTTAGGAAATTTGAATTATTTTCTGCGGCTGCAACGATGTCTCTGGAATAATTGATTCTCGCTGATTTTTGATCGCTTCTTAATGTGTGTGGAACAAACTTCGCACAAACCTTCGTTTTACCCAAATCTTCATGTAATATGGTTCGAATCGTTTCTCTACTGATATTTAAAGCCTCCTCCATCATTTTTAGTGATGCATTGCGTTTGCAACAAAATCACATACTTTTTCGATCATTTCGGGTGTTCGAAATTGGTCGTCCTGATTTTTTGTCATCTTCAAGGGTCTCTCTCTGCCTTCCAAAAAACGCTTATGCCACTCAAAAACAGTTGTACGACCTAGACATTGACTGCCGTAAACTTGTTGCGATCGGAATGTTTCTGATGCACTTTTATCAAGTTTTGCGTTAAATTTAATCACTGCTCTTTGTTCCATATTAAAATTTCCACCTCGACCAAAATCTTGTTTAACATGAACTGTCATATCTTCGTTATATGTCAACCAAAATAAATGAAACTTTGACAGATGATAGCAAAATGTTCAACCTTTAAAATGCATGTTTGAACGCACAGATGTCGCCACTGGTTGCTGAGATGTGGTTCGTGTCCGGGAACATATTTGTCGCACTGTGTATGTGTCTATATTTAAAGAACCGAATTTTGTTGAACCGCATTTATTATAAAATCATCTACAACAGAAAGTGTGCCACATCGTTCTTCAAACAAAGATAATTCATCTTTAAATATATCTACGTCAATATTTTCAATATGTTGTATTAGTTCAGGAAAATTATTGATTAAAGAATTATCCGGAGGACGTGCATTAATGCATCATTGCGTGCATTAATGTTATCATCTGTAACTACATCAGCGGAAACATTATTACAAGAATTTTCATTTTGTATCAATTTTTTAGTATTATTATCTGTTTGTATTATTTGCTGATTCATTTGTAAAAATTTGTTTTATTAAGTCTTCTTTTACTATTCGCCGCAAATATCTTTTACTTGTAAAATATTTTTTAATTTTAGTCATTATTATCCAATACAAAATTATATATATAGCAGTTTATTATTTAATACACACTTTATCTAATAATAGCTAGAAAATTGTAATAAGTGAGAAGTTTAAAAATATTTACCGCATGTAGCACGAAAATGGTCGTAAGCTTGATTTTTTTTTTAGAGATGTGTCTTTTTGTAAAGCACATGCATACTCAATCTCTCATAATAAGGAGAATTTGTAATTATATGGCGCTTAGACAAACAAAATTATCTCGCTCTTGAGGCTCTTGATGTATATTACATCACTTCCAATTTTCTCAATAAAATAAATTTACGTCTATTTTACTCCATTGTAACATGCTAGTAGACACCAATGAACACTCTTGCATAGCATAATACGATAAATATTATCTTTTTGCAGAGCTTCGTTGGATAAATGAAATGAATTTTAACATGCCTTTAACCTATCCTATAATTAATAAAGTTATATAAATTATTATGTTCGTATCTATTTATTGTGTATATATATATAGAGTATATATTTATCTGTTTATATTAAGTCCTCGTCCAGTGTAAGTTTAATCCAGTCTAAGTTTACATAGGGATAAATTTAACTGGATTTGTCGGGTTGACACGGGACCTTAAAAATCATCAATTATAATTGCTACAATATATACTTATGTTTGGTGAATAGAATGTAGGTCGCATCATTCTCATTTGAATTCATTTGATGTGCATGATGCATTATTTATCCTTGTTTAATATTCGTTAAATAACAAGAATAAAAGATGCATCATCATTATGCGCATCATGAAACGGAACGCAGCCTTTGTTACATGGACAAATAAAACGTTATATTTGCAACACTTGTACGATGTTGTGCAATGAAGGTTTCAATAATATCAGATATGCAATGTTATCTAAACGTTTCTCAATGTTCCAAAATGATTGTTTTACAGAAAAAGTTCATGTGACGTTATATAAAAAATATTTTATAAACGTCTCATATATATACATAATATTATACTAACATATACATCTTGAAATGTTACTAATGATACCTTATAAATGAAATGTTCCATAAACATTTCAAAACGTTTAATATATAACGTTACAAACTAGATATTGCTCGAACGTCACGCAACGTTTCATATGAACGTTCCAAATATCAGTTTTAATTACCGAAATAATGTTTTTGCGACGTTTTATAGACATTAGAAATAAAACGTTTCACCAAAACTTTTATGTAACATTTCATAAATGTTTATAATGAAACGTACGATGTATTCTTCTCCAATGTAACGTCACCTGAAGGTTTCATGTTTAATGGGTATAATTAATAATAAATATTATTCTTTAAAAAAAAATTAGTTGTAGTTATGTTTAATACATAAATTCATTTTTAATTTTTTTATTTACATAACTTTTTTGAATATAAGACTCGATTATGACCCAATTTTATAAATATACGTACGAAGCGCGCTACAGTTTTAAATCGCCACCAGTTCCTCCACCTTATTACTTATTTTAGTAGTTTTGCGAGTATATGTCATATATGGTGTTGAAAGTGTTCCCTCCTCTACCAAGAGGCGTTATTCCCGTTATTTATTCCTGTGGCTCTCAATCCATATATAGCAGGACTCGAGTACTCTTTACCCAGTCGTTGGAATATTCTCTGTGTTTCGCTGGTTTAGTATATCTGAATCGCTCGCTGTGCTGATGCTACCCAAAGACATTTTTAACATCAGTGGAACTGATGCGCACCCTACCTTGACGGGCTCTAGAATTCGCAAGTTCTCATAAGCTTCAAGATCCGCGGACTCTTGCAGGCTCCGGTGAGTGGTAAACATTTATGAATGTTTTGTTGCACAATATACAGATTACAGATCGATGTTATGTGTAGGAATTGTCTTGAATTAATAGTAATGCCCGGGTCCTCTCTAAATTTTTTTATCTTTGCACCGAATCTTTAACATCCTTAAAAACGCCATTGACGCCTCGACTGCTTGTTAGTCTGAAGGTATTTCTGACCGAAGATTTCTCTGAGTCACTGCACTGGAGATTACAGTGGAAGCATTTCAACTCATCAATATTGAACTTTTTTCTAATTCAGAAAGCAAAAAGGGACGAAGCTGTCTCAAAAGAGGCTGGTAGAACATCTTGACAATGGATGCGCATCCACATCTGACAAAATTCTGAAGCTACATAAGCCTACTCCAGAGAATAGTCAAGGTTTGATACTAACAAAAAATAGATTTCAGTGTTTAGCAGACACAGTAGAATTGCATGATGATACCTCTTCGCTTGACTCTGAAGAATTGCACGCAAATAGCGATAATTAAAACCCGCCTTCCACCAACGCGGCACGTAAAGAATTTCTCACGAGCGGAAACCACCTCCGATATATCTCGCTTCCAAGATTAGCGATTTTATTAGTTTCTCTAATCAAATTAAGGGAGGAACCTCATTTAGGAGACTCAAAAATACATGATTTTTTAGAATTTTTTTCTCAGATAACATAAAACCAATCGCTTCCAAATTTTAAGAGCGTTTTATTTCAACAATAAAAAAATAATTTTTTTGTTAAATAATAATGATTTTTTGTTATAAAAATGGAGACATGATTATAAGTCTGTTCCATTGTTGTTGTTCCATTATGTACACTCTAGCGGTCGTAATTTTTATCTAAAACAAAAAACCAAATTTGTGTTTTATTTTTATATTATTATCTTCTATTGAACTAAAAAAAATTGAAGAAAAACAAAAATTGAAAAATCTATACGACTTTGAAGAAAAATTTATGATTTTCACAAAAAATTTCGACACTTTTAAAAAAAAAATTAGTATAATTTAATATTTTTCAAAATTATTTTAGTTCATATAGAAGAAGCACAATTATCTACAAAACAAGACCAAGAAAGGATTTTTGATTAGATTTTTTTCTATTGTGTACACAAACTCGAAAAATATGGTTTCGAGAAAAACGCGTTTAAAGTTTTCGAAACACAAAATTATTTATTATTGATAACTTACAACAATCATAGGCTAATCTGCTATTCCAGGTCCATATAATAAACCTTCAATTTCCCCGTAAAACACTCACAAACTCCATAATTCTGGATAAATGCAGTGGATTATATAGTGTATCATTATATAGTATATCATCTACACTCGCACTTAGTTTTCTCGCGGAGACATTAGGCTGCGGATCTTCATCATCTTTTTCCGTACATCCATTTTCGAAAAAACATCTTTTATGTAGTCGTGTTGCACGTTCACTACTGTGGTTCGCTTTCAGGTACGACATTATTTTATCGAAATAAAAATTTCAGAAACGTCTTAACTCACCGAAAACTAGAGCTCGACTGACCGACACAACAAAAAGAAGCACGTTTCAAAAATCTTATTAATGATTGCCCTCTAACATTCAAACTCACAATTATAAACAATAGGTGCTTTCCAATTGCAATATTTTTAGACACTCGTGCACATGGCGACACAAGTTGCGTTCCAATCGTCCGTTATCGTCGACACAACGCTACATATCTGTATTCGAATGCTGTGTAAGCTTGTGTTTTCTAGTGACAATTACATCTACTAACTGCGGTGGCTATAAATGAAGTTGGAAGACGTTGACCGGCACTTTTACTTTTTTTTATATAATACAGGCGGAAAAAGCTACATTTAATCTAACTCTTTCC